ATTTTCGTGTAGAAAAGGAAGGCTGAAGGCTCCCACCCTGACTTTTGAAAAAGCTAATTAATCTTTTAGGAGTATCAAATAGCTGCACAAGGGGATGAGATAAGAGGATGAAAATATTCAACAACAAAACACGTGTGTTAGTCCAACCAACAAGTTATGTTTTATTCTGCTTTGTCAAAACCTTGACAATAACTAACATACTTAATTTGTGATACACCTGTTGAGGTGTCCTGCTTGTTTCCACTGTTAGGAACATCAGTGTTTCTCCTAAAGGCGTTGGCACAAGATCAGTAGTCATTTAGGAATTACTCTATAGGCCATTAGGTGAACTTCATAGGAATGAAATAGGTAAACTTAGTTTTCAGAAGACACTCAGGGCTTTCCATTTCTACAGGAAAGAAACCCTGACCGTCCAAGCTAGATAGGAGCTCAGAGTGCTCCCATCCAGGTTAGATGCACCATGGCACGTGCAAGTCTGGAAGCTGCCAATTCAGCTTCTCTTGGGAGAGTATTTCCTACGTTTAGTGGAACTGGCAGCTCTCTAGTATGTCTGGACCAGTTTCAGGAAATGTGACCAGGCTGCTGGGCTGTAATCCGTTAGTCCAGCTGCTCCCACCATATCTCTCTCTGCCCCAATAATTGGGGACAATCTCTCTCCCTACATAATTGGGATCATGTTTAAAGAGGTGGAAGAAAGTTGGCAGGTGCAGCATTTTGACTGTGCCGACTTTAATAGCTCAATGACATGTGATAACTTCCTGGTTTTCCAAATTATTTTATTTGGTGTTCTGGAGATTTTTCTGTGATTGGTGGACGGTGAATTTTACCACAATGTCATAAGTACACTGAATTACACGATACCACTCCAATGTTTTTTCCCTACCCCACTGGCATTTGTAATATCCTTTTTTTTCCTCCTGTATGAGCTGCCATAATGATCAAGAAGTTTAACTTCACTCTACTTGCTTAAATAATACCTGGAAAATAAGGTAATCTGGAAACATTTTGCTTCCGTATGTAAAACAATAAGACTTATTAAGCTGCTAAAGTGAAGCTTGTTCTAGTATTTATTTTTTTTATAGAATCACAGAGTGCTTTGGGTTGGAAGGGTTCTTAAAGATCACCCAGTTCCAACCCCCCTGCCATGGGCAGGGACACCTTCCACCAGACCATGTTGCTCAAAGGCCCATCCAGCCTGGCCTTGAACACTGCCAGGGAGGGGGCAGCCACAGCTTCTCTGGGCAACCTGTGCCAGTGTCTCACCTCCCATTTCTTCCTAATTATCTAATCTAAATCTGCCCTCTTTCAGTTTAAAACCATTGCCCCTTGTCCTGTCCCTACAGGACGGGACACCAAGATATATCTACCAAGATCCTTTTATCTGCATGCTTTCTACCTTCCCATCATTTTACACTTGAGCTACTACTAATCAAGAGCTATGCTGGATTTTTAAAGGTGCTCTGTTCCTATATAATCAAAGAACTTATTTCCGACACTGTTGAACATGTTGGGCACCAAGTGATTTTGGAGGTGTGTTCATGAGTATCTGAGTGGAAACTTCTTGATACCTACTGCTTCTAACAGCATGAGACGCTTTAGGTAGCCTAACAAAATTCTGTTCGGAAAGATCACGCCTTGCTTGTGAACGTTACGACGTGCTCATAAAGACCTAGCGGGGCTCAGTGAAGTCATTGGAAATGTGTCAAGTTGAAAAGGAATGGATCAGACTAAGAAAGCTGTTGTGTGTTTCCTTTTTTATTAAGCTCCCACTTGTTTTCTGGGTAGGTTCACTTCATCACCGGGTGAAAGTGCATTCCAGGTGAAGATCACCGCTCCTGATGAACAGTTCACTCGCGTTGGTGTGCAGGTATTAGACAGAAAAGATGGTTCCTTCCTTGTGAGATACAGGATGTATGCAAGCTACAAAAACCTGAAGATAGAAGTCAAAACTGGAGATAAACATGTTGCAAAGTCTCCCTACATTTTAGAAGGTAAGAAGCAGCACTACACACAGATTTCTTATCATGGCTTTTTCTAGGATTAGCACAGGATTCTGCAGGACCTCGGTACTTCTCCAGGCTATCAAATCCCATCAGAATTATGGATTCATTATAAGCATCCTGCACGTACTATTCAAAATAATAAAAAGAAACAAATGCTGTGAAGCTGTTGCCTAGCAAATCGATGTGCAGGGCTCACACATAAGCTGATGTAGCTTGGCGTGACTCCATTGGAGTCAAAAAAGGTTAAAACATCCATTGAGAGTTGCTGAAGGTTTGCCCCTAAGCAATGAATGCCCAGTGCCTGACCCTCTTTTGTGAGCTCAACAGCTCAATAGTGCGACTTATTAAAAATAAAATAATTGTGTTCCTGATAGGACCTATTTACCATGAAAACTGTGACTGCCCTCAGGAGGAGAGCAGTGCATGGCTGGAAGAGATGAACTGCCCTCAGATCATTCCACAGATTCAAAGAGACCTAGCAAATTTTCCCATTGTTGATCCAGATAAGATTGCAAAAGAGATTCCACAGCGGTTTGGACAAAGACAGAGTTTGTGTCATTACACCATCAAAGATAACGAGGTAGGGAATGGGATTTGGTGGCAAGTCGTACAACTAGTCTGTTTGGCTGTTCCCAGTTGAAAGGCTTCTTGTAGCCTGGTCTTTAAGATAAACTTCCTTTGCTTGCTTCGCTGTCCTTGAATACTTTGCAGTTTGTATATGAGCTCAGCAATATCTGCCCTACTTTGTAAAGTGCTTTCTGTCCACGCTACAAGTGAAGCACAGTGGAGGCAGATTGCTCTCCAAGCAATCAGTGTGAGTCCTGGGAACAGACCCAAGTCTCCTAAATGCTAACACAGTTTCATGTTCTCTGAGTAATATTGCTGTGGAGTGTCTTGATCATCTAATTTGACAGGCATCAATAAATTACATTGTGCATAATTCTGAGGTAAAGAAATACCACGTTTAGGTCGACTGAGGATCACAGCTACAGTTCTTTCTAACAAAACTGTACTGACTTTCAGTAGAGTTTCATATGGAAATGAGAACGATGGGACACAACAGAAACAGGCAACCAGTTTCTGTTTCCATGAGACAGACCTAAAATGTCTGCAAAAGCAAGCAAAGCTTGTCCTTTTTTTTGGGTCACTTTTCTGTGATGAGTTAGAGAGATGAGATTTCTAAGGCTTCCCAGCCGATTCATAAATCTGTACAGCCGTACAATCTGTCTGACTAGTTACTAAGTGATTAACAGAGCTCTAAATTGTGCCAGCCGTTCTCTGAAATGAAAAAAACACCAGACCAGTAAAACCTGTGTTTATTTTCAGGTTTATATAAAGACGTATGGGGAACATGTTGGCTTCAGAATTTTCATGGATGCCATACTGCTTTCTTTGACAAGAAAAGTGAGTAGATCTGTACAGTCATTTATTCTACATGTCCTAACTTATAGAAGCCTGGGCTTTACAAATATACTTCACCATATTTGTTGCTATTTCTGTTAAAAAGCTCTTCTTGTTCTTCAGTTTATAATGGAAAGATGAGATGGATTTTCCGTGTTTGAAGTTGGCGTGTTCTAGAATGCAATCTGAAATGTTAACTGAATAGCAGGCTTTTACAGCAGATTTGGACAGTGTGTAGGGTTTTTTTCCTATAGATGAAATACATAGCATCTAATAGAAAACGCTGTCTCTGCTAGTACATTTTACAGGATGACTGAATAACAAAGGCATCACAAATGTATTCTTCAGAGATTTGTCCTAGGCTCAGTCCCCATTTAATAACTTTGTTACATTTTGACTGAACGATGGACTAGAGAACATGCTTACTGAATTTTCAGATAGCAAAAATGAAAGAACCTGCAAGCACCTCACAGTACAGCATCATAATTAAAATTTTTCTTAAGAAGTAAGAGTAAATTGTATGGAAAAGGGGATAAAATAAAGTGACAAGGGCAGGATATTACACAAAGGCTGGGTAAGTCATGTAGGTAGGACATGTGTTTGAAACAGGGAGGGAGTGATTGTTTTCTGCAGAAAAGTGTGATGGTTACAGTATCACAAATTTAACATGAGTCACCAGTGGCATGCTGTTGTGAAAACACACACATTTAACAGAACAAACACATGAAAGAAATGTGAAGTAACCTTTCCACTACACTCGGGATTGGTGATGGATTGGTCATGCTTCAGGAAAGATTGTTCGGTTACTGACATTGCACAGGAAAGCAATAAGAATGACTAGACAAACAAATGAAGGTTCATTTAAGCAGGGATGGTTTCATCTAAAAAGGAAGACATGAATGTAGCCATTAATTGTCAAAAAGGTTGCTCTCTGGAAGATGGAAGCTGTTCTCAGTGTCAATAGTGTTGAACAAGAAATAATGGAATTAAATTGCATCAAAGGCATTTAGACTAAATGTTGGAAAAGACTGGCTAACTCCAAAGTCAGAAACTGTTTAGAGACCTAGAAGACACAATTTGTCTCATCCCCATTAAATACTTTAGGAATTTCTATTAAGACAGTGTCACTGGAAGACAGTAGATGTACTGGGTTGGAGAAGAAGATTGAACCTGTTGAATGATTCTGCCATCAAGGATGTAGATAAAATAGAATTTGTAGCTTTTCTACGTCCATTACGACCATGAGATGGCACTGTACTCATAAAGTTCAGTGCTGAAGGTTAGAATGTGTAGCCAAACCCCCTTTGAAATTAATATGAAAAAATAAAACCTCTTCTCTTGGTGTGTGTGCTACAGAAGACAAAAAGTACTGCTTTGGGTCTCAGCTTGGATGTCTCTGCCAAAGGTTTTCCCGTGTCATCAAGTTGGAGAAGGATATCTTCAACCATTTAGGAGGATGTTTGATGTTTGGCAAATTATTAATTTCTATCTCTGTCTGTAAAGATAAATTAGAAACTTAATGAAACCTGTTTGGGCCACAGAAGAATTGTGACATGTTAGCCTGTGACCAGCCATTCTGGTCTGAAGAATAAAGGGGTTTGAGAGGAGAAATGCTTTCATGCATATATGATGAGTCAGCAATATGTTTAAATTATATTTTTACATGTATATGTATATTTAATTTGAGAATTATTAACATTCATAATTGTTCTTTCTTCAGAGACGATCTTTTCTCATGTAGATACTAAGATCGTTGATGATAACACTTGGGAGACAATCTTTTCTCATAGTAGATACTAAGATCGTTGATGATAACACTTGAACAAAATGTCCTAATCACACATATGTACAGTTGTAATCTATAAATTATCTGTTAGTAGTCAGGACAGAGATTTTGGAGTTAGTCCAACAGTTTTCCATACATGCCAGTATGATAATCAGATGTTCATAATAGTCGATTACCCAATTAGACTTATTAAGGAGGGAGGCAAAAACAAAAGAAAAAAAGGTTATGTCACAGTATAAAACCTACGACCTGCCTATCTTGTGAAAACGGTGCAGTTCTCATTTCCCTTTCTCAGAAAAGAGCTACACAGCAAGAAGGCTGTTTGGGCATGCAAAGACTAGCTAATTTGTCTGGGATTCCTTTGCTTTGAAAGAGCAAACTGAGGGGATTTATATTTTTTAAAAATTATTGTCGTGAGGAGGATGAACTAAGAACAGATACAGCATCAGTTCTGCACTGACATTACACATGGCTTCAGGGTTCTGTAAAACTCAACCATATGTCTTCAGCCTTCTGCTCTCCAGACTGAAATGTCCCACCATTTTCAGTTTCTCCTCACAAGGCAGCTGGTTCATCGCTATCGTAGTAGCTACCTTTCTTTGTACCTTCTCTTCGTTTGCAAATACCGGAACCACACACAATGCTCAGATTTTCATATAGCACAACATTATGCCCTCTGTCCTGTTGTTACAACATTTCCTGGTCATCAACAGTACTTTGCTTGCTTTTTGGCTGCAGCAGTGATTTCAGATATGGTTCCATACTACCAACTGTTTCAAATAAGTGAGGATATTATGCTTAATTATTAACACCACTGCTGACTAAATGTGGTCTTCCCATCGTGGCTGTTCATTTCTGTTACTTCTGCTGGATTTAGTTATCATGCAGACACGGGGCAAATCAGTTCACTGACGTGACAGAAAACTAATTTACCACCCAACAGCAGTTTTCCATACAGTCAACAAGGCAGTTCAACTTACCTTGGGACTATACAATTGCTTACTAGATCCCAGTGCTAGCCTCGTACAAAGACTGTGTGGCCAATCATATGAAGTGTAACAAGAAACTGTCCTCTAAACTGGGGTGTGCCTATCCCTTAAAAAAAAAAAAAAAAAGAGAGAGCACTTATATGACTTTGTGCAAATCTTAAAAAAAAAAAAAATCATCTTGGAGGCTTTACTCTGGTCTCAGTACTTCTAACGTGTTTCTAAACTTTTTAACAATTTATTCCAGGTACATTAAGTATATTAGACACCTGACTGTTTTTTTCTCTTGGTGAGGTTTTTTTAAAAATGCAGGATGCCAGCAGAAGAATACTACTTTGTATTAAAATGCATTTGTGCCTACTTTGCTTCTGTTTAGGTGAAAATGCCAGATGTAGAGTTTTTTGTTAATTTGGGGGACTGGCCTCTGGAGAAAAAGAAGCCCCCACAGAACCTGCACCCCATCTTCTCATGGTGTGGGTCCAGTGAGTCAAAAGACATTGTCATGCCAACATACGACTTAACAGACTCAGTTTTGGAGACTATGGGACGGTAAGAAATTGCTTAAAATTTAAAAAAAAAAATCACAGTGAATGATGTTCCAAAAAAATATTTGTATGAACGATATATTAACTGTTTTTATTTCTTCATTGAGACATTGGCACCCCGTAGGTAGGCAATAACTGTGTGAACCATATCTTAACATTAACCAAATTATGTATTACATACCATAAATGACATATATTAAAATACTTCACTGTTTTATTTACTCAAAATTACTCTAAACAAGTCAGTGAAAACAGAACTTAGAGGGAATGTTGCAAGGGTAGGTATTTTGTTTGTTTGCTTTGTTTCCCCCTGCCATGAACATGCTGACAACTGGCCAGGTCTCTTTTTCCCTGATTTTCCTAGAGTCTTTTTTCTGTACTTTTGTCGTGGTTTGAGCCCACCCAGCCAGCA